AATACTAATTACAAATTTTAAAAAGCTAATGATAATTAAATAAACGCTGTAAACAGTGTAAACCGTAAAGGCAAAAGGCTAAAGAATAAAATAAAGCATGCTATCCATGCTTTTAATGCTTATCATAGTGTAGTATGTACGACGATTACGTCACGGCGCAAAATACTCCCACTCCTATTTTTTCAATATTTCTTAAATGAGGCAACCTTTAGTATCTATAAACCTTGAATAAAAGTAACACCAGATAACACAACTATCACGTCTACACGGTGTTAAAAACTCGATAACCGTGGTTTCAACCATCCTTAGATTCAGTGAGTTAATATAATAACATTATTATAATCTCCATGGAAAAATAGTATCGATACCGGATATTTGTATCGATATGATAAAATATCGAATCAAAAGTATCGATACTAAAAATACTCATATCGAAAGAAAAGTATCGATATTTACTCATATCGGAAAAATCGAAACGTCCCTAACCACACACAACAGTTCAAAATTGGGTTTCTTATCTCAATCGCGAATGTCTATAAATATCCAGTTAATAAATACAAAAATAATATCGACAATGAATTTATAAATATTGTTTTATTTTACAGATTATTGAATTCCTATTCCTATACGTATACGGTATAATATCTAAGCATATTTTCGACTTTTCGATACGTCTTATTTTATGATTACATTTGGTCGTATCACAGATTACTAAAATAATATTATAGCTTTGTATGTAGGTACTAGGTAATAGCCAGTAGGTATTACAATTTTCTAAATTTGTACACTAAATAACTAAGGTCACCAAATTCATCTATGACATTTGTCATAGATAAACATATACTTTGGCGCCACTGGTTCGCTAACAATCTAAAATTCTAAAAGATGTTAATAATTTAACAGTTGTATCGTTTTATGACAGAATTAATTTTTCTTCTGAAAACAATAACAAATATATTTTTCTTTTTTTTTTTAGGATAGATTAATGAACTTTTTTGCGATTAAATGGGCATTAGAAACTGTTCAAAGCTTCGTTACACGAGATGATGAACCACATAATGATGACGAATTTAGTTTATTTCAAAAACATGTACACGATAATGTAACTTTAACAGGTAATTCAAATCATGAATGATATTATAATAACTAACTCAAATCAATAACTTTATTATTGACCTATGTATTCTTTAGGTTTTCAGTCAACAATTATTCCTAAATTGCGTATTTTATATAATATGAGTAAAAGAAATTTAATAGAAGAGCTTTATCAAGTAAGATTTGAACAAATTTAATTTAAATTAAATTTAAAATGTAGAAACTTTGATTTACAAAGTTTAGTATTAATATAATGTCATAAGTGTAATTAAAATATATTCCTTTAATATTTTCAGGAATTAACGACACACAATCAACTTATCAAAGAAGAAGTATTACATCTAATTCTCTCTTCGATATTAGATATGGACACAAAATCAGAAAAATATGATGCAAATATTCAAAACGCCAATATTGGTATTTACTGAAATATACTATCTTAATCATCCAATTATTGATATCAATTAGAAAAATCCGTATTAATTAAAACAATTTTATATAATAAGTGTGATTAGATTGAATATAGTTTTTTTTTTTTTTTTTTAAATACGATGTTCCTACGTATGTTTAATGTTTAGACTACTATTTTTGACAAAAAAAAAAAATTGATTTTCCTACGTAATTTTATTATGAATATTTTAAATAAATGCTATTTATTATAACTAAAATATATATGTTTATAATATACATTATTCAAAATTGTAATATATATTTTCAAATTAAAGCACATGAGTAAACTTCAAAATACATGCAAGTCCGATTAATATATTTAAAACCCAATATTTTTATACATCATATCTTCTTTCTTATAATATAAAACCAAAACGAGCTATTTTTATTTCCGCCAGAACGCTCTGGTTTAGTGTGGCCAATAGAAAAATTAAAATTTTTTTTTATCGTTGTCATCGCTTATCTCCCCCGTCGTTATCGGTCGTTATTATTATTGTTTTTATACACCATTTTTTCCGCTTTTCACCCGATTTTCGGCCTTTAGAGAACTTTTTCCGTCGCGTTCTCTACCTTATAGCCCAAAGCGGGACTTTTTCGTCTCGTCCGCGTGCGTTTTTCGTTCGGATTCGGTCCTCGGCCGCGGCCGTATCCGTCGTGGAGGCGGCCGCTCGTCAACGAACGTCGCCTGTTTTTCTCCGGTTTTTCTCTCCGCCCGAATCGGTTTCGCCTTTTTTGCGTCCGCGCGTTTTCTGGTCGCGTAGAACGCGTCTCTCACGAGCCGCACGTCCCCGAATTCCGTTCGCGGCCGTCGTCGTCGCGTCCAGAAAACGTATCGTCACGTATGAGCCTGTTTGTTTTATTACGATTCGATAAAATAATTATCCGCATCAAATACGTGTTGTTTTGTTTTCGGTGTCTCCACCTTCGGACGCCTCCGCAACCTCATCAGTACTGTCTCGATAGCGTACGAAATGCGATTATGTGTATAAAAAAGAAACACGCGTCGGGTTTAACAGATTCTTATGTGTATTACAAAAACAGAGTCTTCCTCTCGAATCGTTAAAATCGTTTTAATACTTTTAATTGCGCATACGTTTGGGGCGATATCGTGATATGTGTCTGTGATAACAAACTTGGTACATCATTAAGACGTATACAATTAAATAATGTGAAAGAATACGTCAGAAACACTAAACAACAATAAGTATGCGATTTACAGTTTCGTGACACGCGAATCGTGAAAATTGTATTGGTTAAACGACGTATAATATAGTTTTCGTCGCATCACTAAAACGGTTTAAGTGCTCGAGATTCAGTCATAGACTCAAACAGTTGTCGATAGGTATTAGGATAGGTTCCCCCAACGTTAGGTAGGCAGGTTTGAAACCCGTTCCGGCGAAATCCGGGCGGCTCCATAAGAAAATGCATATTCGATTTTTTTTTTTTTTTTCATTTTTTGATTATTTTAAATATTTGCGTGTCAATTAATTGCTATTTTCGTTTTGATATCCAATCTTACACTACTACTCATAAAATATTTTTCTAATTTTAAAAATGATTTGATCTCACACATTTAATTTTATATTGATTGATGAGTGATGACAAAATATATTATATTATTATATTATTATAATATACTTTACACGAGCATTAAATTACACAATAGTATTCAATTATTCATTTTTTTAAATAGATTAAAGATAGATTATTATATTCAATAAATATATATATTTATGTGTGTTTATGTTACACATTATAACTTACTATATTATATATACTTAATTAAAAATAAAAACCAATTATAGTTATTGCTAACAGTTTGCAAAATTCAAATGTACATATTATGTGATATGAAACTTATATTATAGCCTGAGAACATTCTATTGATGACAATACAGTTGTTTTACTCAGTTTTGACCGTGAATTCATTATTTTATATGTTTAGCCTTTCAGTTGTTTACATTTGAAAGGTACAGGGGAAAAACGGTAGTAGTACATTTTTTTTTTTTTGATTTTTAAATATTTTGTGATCACAGAAAGTGCATAATATTTCTTTTCGATATCTAACTATCTATAAAATATCAAAAAAATATTAAATATTATGTACAGTTTTTTGATCTTCAACTCGCTAACGTTTGATATGTATTTTCATTAATACGTTTAAAATCTTCCCTTTGCGCCCACATCGTCCGCTAACCTGGGAGGTTTAAACGCGTTTAATTGGATTTTCAATGGTGATAGCTTGAAGATCGAGCACTCGATTCGATTTGAACTTTTGTACGTACTGAACAGCACAACGCCTTCAACGTCAAAAGGTATAACAATCCGCCGCAGTTGGATTGCCCAGTCATGATATCGGCATTCACCGTACCGGATGATGACTGATACAAAGACACTCAATTGCCTTTTTCGGAATGTATTTATTCATTTTCCATTTACAAAAGCACAGGGCGAACTACAAGACAAGATGTCTATGAATTTAATGAAATGACCGACCACTAGACGCTCGAATTGGACTTTTATTATTTATGCGTTTAAAACGACACCGCCAAAGTATAGAGCCACCAAATCAGAGGTACCAACATCTCAAACGTCGTTATCACTGGTTTCGCCTACTAGACTTTTCTAACTACTGTATTCTAAAGTCCTGTCTCCTACCTAGGAAATTCACTTCAAACGATTTTCAGCTACCTAGAGCAGGGGTCGGCAATTAAATTCTATGGAGATCCAGAAAATTAAAAAAAAAGGAAAGATGGTAAACTGCGGCAAAATTTACCTTTTTCTAAAAGTCGATATGTAAACTGCGGCAAAAAAAAAATTAAGATTATACAATCTGCGGCAAAACCGATAAGATACATTATACAAACTGCGGCAATTTATTTTATATACCTTCTATTATAATATACTATATACACATTTATTGTTTAATTAGAGTATATAGTCTATTAGAGTATTAGGTGTAAAAATTAAGAAAAACCAATTTTTAAAATTGAAAAATATTATTATTATCAACAATTATTTTAAGAGATCGTAATGATAGTAATGATAGTACAGTGAAACCTGTATATAACGGACAGTCACTGGACCAAAATAATTGTCTGTTATAGACAGGTGTCCGTTATAGACAGGTTTCAATGTTTTAAAAATAAAATATGGGAGAGGAACGCCTCATTAGTCTCGCTTTACTTAATATTCACAAGAATATAGCAATAAATGTTGATGAAATTATTTCCAGATTTGGAAAAACAAAACAAAGGAGACTAAACTTTGTCATTTAATTAAAACAACAACTATTAATAAAGTTCTCATTTTAATTTATAATATACTTTCATTATGTTTTAACTATGTATTAACATTTTGTCTTTTCATAAATATGAGTATATGACCCCCCTAATTTTAGTTCTATATCCGCGCCTGTTTGATACTCATAGTTATCATTTATACGTATTGCAATTTATAACTGGATATATTTCTGTTAAATTATATTAACCTAAATTGTTGTACAAATTTCAACTTTATGAATTCAATAGGTAATCGCAATTAGCGTTATTGTAATCGGCGATAATGTAATTGGTCGTAATCCGTGTTTTCACTGAATGACCTAATTGCGTTCCTTATCGACGCTGTTTTGTAGTATGTATTTTTGTCCGTTATGAAATTTTCGGGTTAAATATTAGTGTCCGTGTCCGTAATAGAAGGAGTCAGTTATAGACAGGTCGAAATACATTGGAATGCTTATCTTTTTGCCGGGACCTGGACATTTTGTCCGTTAAGAGAGGTGTCCGTTAAGTCAGGTTTCACTGTATAATCAAAAAACCAATATTAAAATTGAAAAATATTATTATTATTAAAAATTATTTTAAAAGATTGTTATAGGGATCTTATAATCCAAAAAAAAATTCAGTTTAAAAAATAAAATAATAATACAATAGGTACCTAATTAACACTTTGTCGTTTATTTTTAAAACATACTTTTTTCAAAAATTCATATCATGAAATTCGTCCTTCTTCTTTCATTTGTCGCTGTTCGTTTATAAATTTGTATTTTTGCGTTGTCGCTTTATTTCTTTTTTTGTATTACCGCTTCTTCTGCACTTCTAATTTTTATATATGTGTCAACTTGAATATCCTGTATAGCATCTATAAATTTATATAGTGATGGGTAATGATGATAAAAATATGCATTAAATTTTGAATGGAAAGATTCACATACATTATTTGTTATAATTTCTGATTTCGATGCCCACAAAGAAGGAGGGAATACGTCTTGCATATAAGTTTCTGTTAAATAATCACAAAATTGTACTATTTTATTATTAGATGGCATATCTGCTAAAAAAAACAAACGAATCTTCGACTTCATCAGGTTCAAGGAACAGGAGACCAAAAATATAATTTAAAAATTTTCCTTCATCTGTAACTCCTTCAATATAAAGTTTAGATAGACCCAAATTTTGTAATTTTCTAAACCACGCTTGGCCAAGATGAAAATTACAACCTCGAATAATACTGGTTGGCCATATACTGCGAACCGCTTCGTGTATTCCAATTTCAAAATCAATTACGAACATATTCGGGTTAAGTACAAATCCTGCGGTCAAACATGCATCACGTAACTTTTTAAATAAATGTTCATAAGTCGATGTACGTTTATTGGGAAGCAATGCATATACCAGAGACATATATATACCATTTTGAAAACCATGCAGTACAAAAAACTGATAAAAAAATTTAGTACAGAACTGGAATGTTCCGTCCATAAAAACTTTTTCCATAGAACATAAGTATTTTAAATTTGTGAGACATGTAAATACAATTATATTTGTTTCCTTATCATTAATTAGCAAAAAGTTTTCATTTTTGTTAGTCATAATATTCATATTTATTAGAACTGTATGTACTTCATTAATATCCTTGGGAAGTGGTGGGTGATTTTTGTTTTTTTTATTATATAAATTTCTACGAATATATGAAATATCATTAACCAGTAATTGAGTATCGTTTTCTAAACTGCGAAGTTCTTTTCTTATTATTTTAGATGGCATTTCGTTTATATTGCTTTCAGATATTTTTCGTTTAATATTATTACTTATATTACTGCTTGACGTTCAATTGAAGAATCTGATTCATGACTATGATCCAAAACAGATTTTTTCTTGATCAAGAATTTTTTCCTTGTTGAAGACCAATTTGGCCTTGCATGTTTTATTGACGCATTCCCATGTTTTATTACCATTTGTCTTTGATTCGTATTTAAATTTGAATTTAAAATTGTTTAACACTGTTAATATTTTGCCATTCTGGCTAAACATTGTTGTAAACTCCATGACGTTGAATAAATAATAACTACTAACACTTGTAAGACCAACTAAGACTAACTAATATTAACAAAAGTACAGGAACCGATATTACCGATATGTTTCGTTAAAACTTAAAAATACATTTGGATTTACCTTACCAATTTGTACGCAAGACAAATTACATACATGGTACCTACATATTAGGTACACATAGGCACATAGACAGGTATATAAGATATAGTATATAATAGAAGGTACCTATATAAAATAAATTGCCGTAGTTTGTATAATGTATCTTATCGGTTTTGCCGCAGATTGTATAATCTTAATTTTTTTTTTGCCGCAGTTTACATACAGCCAAAAAAAGATATCGAGGGCCAGTAAAAACTCAGATATTAGTTAATAATTGTTGTGTTATCGCGACCATTATTGTAAATAACGGTTAACGATAAACACAATCGTTATCTCTAAATATATCATAAATTAAATTAAATATATATTATGTGTTTTATATTATATTATGGAAAACCAGCATTATTAAAAAAAAATATTTTTTTGTGGTCCAATTATTTTTCCTTCATGGGCTAGAATTGGCCCGCGGGCCGCCTATTGCCGACTACTGACCTAGGGTATTCATATACAGCGAGTTTTACCGACCTAGGGTATTCACATATAGCGAGTTTCACCGACCTAAGGTATTCACTTACAGCGAGTTTCACCGGTGCTAGTCTTATAATATAAAACGAAGAATAGTTCGCACTTCTGCCGATAGGTATAGTTTCTCGACCAATCGAAAAATTAAAATTGTTTCTATGTTTATGTCTCCCCGTCGTTATCTCCCGCCGTTATCGTTATCGGTCGTATCGTTGTTGTTTTCCGGCCTTAACCCTTGGTTAGGTAGGTGAAAAAATGTTACATTAATAGGTATCATGGGTCTGATAGACCCATATTAATACATCGATTTTACTCTTTTATGGTAAAACTTTATTTCTTCAAATATGAATAACAATTACAAAGACACTCTTAGAAATATATTGTAACAATTACGAAACAAAATAATAAAATATTTAATGGTGATAAATAAAAACTTTTGACCCTTCTTACAAATATAATAAAACAAAATTAAAAAATTGATCTCCATTTTAAATTATGATAATTACAATTTTTAATAATAAACAAAGTTAGAAAATAAATTATATACATCAAAATAACAGTTAATTATAAAATTTAAAAAAAAAAAACAAATTATTTTATAAATTATGCACCTCTGAATAACACTCTTCGCAGACGAATTTTGCGTGTTTTATACATAATCATTTCTGGCGGCAGTCTTCACAGTAGTATTGTGTTTTGCTATCACTTTTGCAATAATGGCACCTTCCTCGTTTTCCTTTATTTGGTACCTGCGTACATTCTTTAATTCCACTTAGCCGTTTTGCTGACTGTCTCAATAGTGTTGGCAAATGTTTATTATGAGCCCTCTGTACTAAACATTCTTTTACTAATGACAGAGATAGGTTTTTTACGTAAGCTCGGCTCGCCATATTTCGTTTGTTATTTGCGTTATGAATAATACCACCATTTATTGATGAAATATTCAATATATAAAAAAACATTGTTAATAGCCAGCGATTAGTATTCCTTGCAACTGAGTAGTCGGTAGTCATTCAATCCACATTATCGACTCCCCCTTTCGTACTATTATAAATTGTTATTATTTCTGGTTTATTTCTTTCGCCAGATTCCGGGTCGATTTTGTCATCATTATGTAAACTAGAAATCAAGAGTACAACTTTATTTTTTTTAGGAATATATGATACTATAGTGCAGTTTTCTTGGAATCCAAATGTACAAAAATACACGGGTTTATTTTTAGTTGTAACAAATGATGTAGGTAATTTCCTTTTATTTTTTCTTATAATGCCAACGATTGTCAATTTGTGTAATGTTAGCATTGTCTGTACCAAGTTATAACTAGTAAACCAGTTATCTAAAGTTATATTTCTGTTTGTTCCAAACACTGGTTCACATAATTTTTTTACCACGTCCTCTGATTTATTACTGATGTCGAATGCCCCTGGCGGCTGTTTTCCAGCATATACTTCTAAATTGTATGTGTAACTCATTTTAGCATCTACAAGACTAAATACTTTAATTCCATACTTAGCCGGCTTACTTGGTATATATATTTTAAATGGGCAACGACCACGAAACGCTACTAGTGTCTCATCAATAGTGCCGAACTCTCCAATGCTGTAGTTCTGTTTACAATTGTTTATAAATAAATCAAATACTTCTCTAAAAGGTGCAAATTTATCAGTCACTTTTCTCTGTATTCTAGTATCAAGATCATCAAATCTAATGCAACGAATCAAAAATCTGAACCTTTGCAGTGACATAGTTGCCCAAAAAATTTCGACGCCTGTCCCATCCCTTTCCTAAAATTCATCCAAATTTAGTCTTCCACCATGCAAGACACCAGCCATATAAAGTAAACCAATAAAACCTTTTAACTCAATAATATTTGTACATTTTACATACCAGATATTACTGTAATTTCCAGCAACTTTATTTATAAACATATTTGTACATGTAACGATGTGTTCTAACATATCGTTTTTTATAAACAATAACCATGTACATCACTTAGCGCATTTTTCGCAATCGGTTTTACACCGGGTAAGTGCGTTATAATGTGATGTGAACGAGTTCTTACTTGAATATTTTATTTTTGTTTTTCCATTTAGTTTTTTGGTCTTTACTCGTAAAATACATTCGTCTGTACTCCATAGAATTTGTTTCATTTTCTACTGTTTCGACAGTTTCAATCATTTCATTTTCAATGTTATCATTATTATGGGGAGATTCGGAGGTATCACAGTCTTCTTCAGAGTCTGTATTGTGGTCGCTGTCTATTTGAAAATTCGGATCTACATTTTCATCATCCCATTCATCACCAAAATCATAGTCAACCATAGGTTCCTCTAATAATTTATTAATATCTTCTATACTTAGAGCCGCCATATTTATACCAAATCTATAAAATGTAGTAATTAATTTAATGTAATAAGAATTATGTCAAAATGAGCTTTATAAAATAGTTACATTCGGTGGAATCCGAAAAATTTGTCTCACAGGAATTTGTTTTATTTAATACGTGAGTGAATAGGTTGGGTCTCACAGACCCATTTTGTTTTCCGGCTGAATTAAATGATACTGAAATTGAAAAATAAATACCAACTATGATAACTAATGGTTGTTAGGTATATTGACTACAGCTATTGAAGATATCAAGTATTACAGTATGACCAACATAACTTTCTTATCTATATTTAAAATGCTCGGGTCTGATAGACCCGACCGACCTTTTTCAGTCGCGTTCTCGATGCCATAGCGAAAAGCGCATCTTTTTCATCCCGTCCGTGTGCATTTTTCCCGCGGATTCGGTCCTCAGCCGCGGCCGTATCCGTCACAGAGGCGGCCGTCTTTTGTTCTCCGGTTTTCTCTCCGCGCGATTCGGTTTCGCCTTTATCGTGTCCGCGCGTTTTCTGATCGCGTGGAACGCGTCTTTTGCGAGCCGCGCGCGTATCGTGTGTCCCCGAAATCCGTTCGTAGTCGTCGCCATCGCATTAGTGTTCTTCGATCGGTTATCGTATCGTTACGTATACTCCTGTTTATTTTTTTACGATTCAATGAATTATTTATCCGCATGGAATGTAGGTAGGTAATCATTTAGAAACTCCATAAAACAAAAAATATTTTACAATGGAAGATAATACTTTTCCAATTCTCAAAATATTTTCATCCATAGAGATTTGAGTATTAAAAATGCATATATTTGATCGACATACATTTTCACTATCCACTAAGTTTTACCAAAAAAATTGTATACGCAATATTATTATTATTAATACGTGCGTAATAAGGTGTTGACATGATAATTCATCATTGTATAAAATATATTCATTAATTAGCTTAGTTGTAACCTATTTCATCACGTTCTTCAATACTTTACGCACCCACTTAAATTCAAGTAACTGTTCTTAAAAATATACAATAATGAATATAATATGCATTATACATTTAAAACATTGACATGCATAAGCTTATAAACTACTTAAGTTGTTTTAATTAATTAAAAAAAAAAAGATTTAACGTATCGTAAGACAAACAATCCTTGATTTTTTACGTTGCCTAATTAAATTTATATTATTACAACATAAATTTAAAACTTATCATATTATTTTTATTTTTAAGCAATCAAATTACTTAACGTTTTTGTCAAATTCCATAAAAAAATAAACGCCAATACTGCAAAAGACTATGATTACAATGAAGTTGAAAATAAACAAGAAAATTATGGATCAATAACAATTTTTTATGTTAAAATAGCAAAAAAAGAATATACAACGACGGAATTTCAAATAAAAAATTGTTTTATCGCCAATAAATGGTTAATGGAATTATATGGAGTAGTTAGTAAAAGTAACCAATATAACGATGAAAATAAAGCAGCTTATAAGAACGTTTATTATAATATAATGCAATTGGTAAACAATGAAAAAAAATTCCTTAAATCTGAAAATTTTAAAGACGATCAACATTTTATGTTTTTAAAAGCTAAACATATGAGCAAAGTAATTAATCCTAAGCTATTTAATATATTTGTAAATAATACTAAAATGTTGTGATATTTCATTTTATTTAAAACATTTTCTATTAATATGACAATGATTCTTAACCATCAGATGTAATTTTTCTCCCTAGATATACCATTTCCTCAACTTGCTCCATTTTTTGACTATCGGTGTATACATCAGCTTTTACTTCTGGGTCTCTGGAACAGACTATTATTTTCATTTCTGATGTCCTGAGCTTTTCATCCGTTTCTTCAATTGCACGCTGTATGCCTGTATGTCTCGTCATATCTGTTATTATCACAAAGTCATCGGTAAAACGTATCGTTGAAACAATTTCTCCACAATTTTAGTCTTTTTAGCTTTGTTTCAATTTATTTATAACTTTTTTGATGTAGCAATTAATGATTGATGGTGATAACGTACAGTCTTGTCATACCCCCTTTTTCATTTGAGTGTTAGTAGTGATTTCTCCTTTTTCAATGCAAGCTGTCTGATTCTTATAGAGACTATGGATCATTCTTAGGTCTTGCTGTTCAACATCTATTTCTTGTAGTGTGAGCAGCATTTTATTTCAATTTACTTTATCAAAAGCTTTTTCAAGGTCTATGAAGGCCAAATATTTAACTTTATTTTTACCGATCTGTTTTTAAATTAAAACTCACAGTCCTAAAATTGCTTCTCGTATACCTTTTTGTCTTCTAAAACCAATTGGTCATTTTTAAAGTACTGCTCCACTTTTTCTTCTATTCTTCATTTTATTATTTTTGTTAAGATTTATGAGGCATGTGTCAGTAAACTTCTCACAGGAATTTGCTCCACTTTTCATTGGTATAATTCTTGAAATAATTTATCTGGCATCGTTCCTTTCTCATGTATATCCCTAATTAGTTGATATAAAGCGCCTTTTATCTTCTTGCTTTGTACATTGCAATAATTCTGCTGTTATATTATCAATCCCCCATGCGTTTTATGTTGTTTCAAGTCATTAAACCTTAAATTTTGATCTTAAAATGGGTAGTTTCATTTCTTCTTCATTTGTTGTCATTTCATCCAGTTTTTTTTTCCATTGTAAAGCTTCTCAATGTATTTTCTCCATATTTTTATTATGTTATTTTCAACTAGAAATTGGCCTTTTTTTATCTTTGGTATTAGAGAAATTTCGTTTTCTGTTTCCGATAAATTTTTGGATCCTGCGATACGCATAACTTATTTTCTTAACATTAAATAGCTCATCAATTTCGCCATGCTGTTGGCTTTTTTGGCTTCTCAATAATTCTGATGCTTAGTTGAGAAAAAACTTATGTTATCCTCACCTTTTATTATTGTTTTTATATTTTCGTCTTTCATCTATAAAATTTACTATTTCCTTATCTATCCATGCTCCTCTTCGTTGATTCTGTTTTTTTTTTTTTTGTCAAAACATTATCCGCCGCATTTATGATAGTTGATTTTATGTTCTTCCATTTTTATTCAAAGAATCATCTGCATTTCTTTTTTGATATTCACAATCTATGTGTTGTCTATATTGTTCCACAACCTCTGCTCTACTAAGTAGTTGTTTTGCTGTACTCTTTATAGTAGTGTTTTTTATATCGGAATTCGTATTTAATTATTACTTTTTTATTGTGATCACTGACACAATCAGCACTTCGGTAGATTTTACAGAATTTAACTTGGTTCTTAAAGCAATTTCTCACAAGTATTTAAACTTTTTGGTAGCGAGCAGCGTTGTCTGGCATTTTCCGTATATATATTCTTCTCTTGAGGTTTTGAAATCTGGTATTCGTTATAAACTTATAACCATCCAATTTATTCTACAGAACTCTACTACTTCCTCTCCTCTTGCATTTATTTTACCTAAGCCGAAGTCTCCGATTTTTCTACCTTCCCTCTGCATTCGCCAACTATAGCATTAAAATATCCCATCATGATTACATTATCGTATGGATTAACATGTTTCAAAAGCTCCTCCATGCCTGCTTACACTTCTTTTACTTCTTAATCATCATCTGTTTTTAACGTTGGTTATAATTTTGTATAATTACCAGGTTGTTTGATGTTGATTACTTTTTGACCAAAAATAATCTGCTACTGTAAGTTACCACGTTTGTAACTCTCATACCTCACTTCTTATTGAGAATAATTCCAAAACCGGGTTGTCTTTTTGTACTATTTGTATGGATAACTTTAAAATTTTCTGACCAAAAGTCACCATTGTCTGGCAAACGTATTTTGCATAATGTTAATATGTTTATATTTAATCTTTTCATTAATATTTTTGTATTTTCCAGCTTTTCTGTTTTCAACATTATTTATACGTTCCATGTTCCTATTCTCTGCTTTTATGTATCCTGTCCGGTATGTCCCACCCGGACATCCAAACGGGCAGCTATTTTACGTTCGTACAAAATTTTTACACTGCGAGAATCTATTTCAGAAGACAAAGAGAGTAGTAGCCTAACTAAGGATGTTAATGTGGTGATTTCTCTTTGACTTCCATATCGCAGCCCAAACCCTATTTCTAGGGATTGGTGGCCGAGTGTAGATAAACTTTTATCTGTGGGTTCTTACTACATGCGTGGACTACCGAGAATGTATTCTAAATCCCCACCCCCACAAGTAGCAAATTTGAAATTAAAAATAAATATTGACTATTACCTTTAACCTGTTACAAAAACCAATTAATTATCTCATATAAAACTACTGAAAATTTACAGTTTAAATTTATTTTATTTTTTTAGTTCTAATGATAACTCGTGAATACATATTTATTTGACTTTTTTATTACTACAACCAAAATAACTCTTCACCTAGAAATTTTTATAACGAAAAAATTAATAAATCATTTAAATTTGTCAAAAATAATTTAGTACCTTATCGTATGTTTTTAGTTATAAAAATAAGTAATTTTTACTTTAAAGTCCCACTAAGATCAACTATAACCATCGACTAAATAAAAACAATATTATCATGAATTAACATTTTTTTTAAATCAATCAATCTATTTTAATTATGGTAGTAGTCATTGCTATAAAATTAAATATAATCTGATATATTTTTCCCCAAAAAATCCTCTCGAATAAAATAAATTTATTTTAACGCTTTTCAATGAGCTATAAAATTAATCTCTAAACAAAATTTTACTTTCAGATTCTATTGCATTTAGCTGATTGGGAAAAAACTAATAGACCCGATGGTTGGAATCTTAATATACCAAATTTTTTTAAGCTAACAGCTATGAACAAATACAATATGTTAGAACTACTAACGAAGCTACAAACTGATTTGAAATGTCCTTATATTAATAGGATTGAACTACTCACGATAATATTTAGATATCATCGGAGATTTACAAAAGATTATGATGCAATGTATAGTATTATAAAAGAAGCAATTTCCGAATCAGTCATTACTCCTGAAGTATATCTTTATTTAAACTAATATTTTTTTTTACTTATTTAACTATTACTTCACGGATCTTAAAAACATTCCAACGATTTAAAATAAAATCTAAAACAATTTGGTAAATATTTTGTATGAGCATGTAATGAATAATTAATTAATTGAACTGCACTCACTATTTCAATAACTATTATGGGTTTTGAAAACGTTGTTTTCACTTAATTTCTCCAGTTTAAGTTATTTGTAAAATTAACTCGTATTATTATCTTAAAACATTTTAAGTTTTTACATTTTTTAACATAAATTTTTAACTTAATATTATCAACAAAAATATATTTCTAATTATTTAGATTTATAACAATCGACATTAGAATCAGTAGTTTTTGAGTTATAAATATTTAAATTTTTTGTAAGTGAATTGATGATGAATAGGAATACCCCGCAAAATGTTCTTTTCTTATTCTACTTAAACTTCACGTCGATCGTAAAATATGTCATCCTACATAGTTTTTAAAAAATATTTATTTTTTTAAATAATTACTAATTTTTTAAGTACATTTAAAAAAAAAGTTTTTCCTAAGTTTTAGGTTAATTTTTCATGTTCTATGAACGTTTTCTTATTTCTCTTATTGTATTTAAATCCGATACCTTATTGTTTTATTATATTTATCTTATATTCTTATATATTATGGTTTTCGCTGCATGGAAAATGTGTTATCTCATTATTGTATGCGCTGTGCGTGATAAGTGCAGGTGTTTGTATTTTCCATGCATGTTATCTGAATTATGATTTGAGTAATATGCGTGGAGGATTATGGACATTTGCACTAATCCCGAAAATTGTACGTCTATCGGCAGTTAACGATTGGGTTTTTCGTGCCTTTTGTCACAGAACACGGGACCGACCCGGTGTAATTGTCGATAGACCGGGTATAAAAGGCCCCACGACACGACCATCAATACCATTCTCCGTCTTTCCGACTTTGTAGTAAGATCCACCCGGGCAGACTTGCGCAAATAGGAAAGACGGCCTCCCAGACCACACTTATCGAACGGTTTGTGACTCGGTCAATGGTGCAATAGTTGGAGTTATTCTGGCATTGCATTGATCAGTCACCTACCCTGTGGTGCAATAGTCAGAGTAATTCCGGCATTGTATCGGTCGACACACCGTTCGATAAGCCCCCTCCCTTGTCGTGCTCCGTCGTGTCGTGGCGTCGTGTAGCGCCTTACGCACCTTTGTTTTTTGTTATAATATAGTTAAACTTTAAAACTCAGAGTGTTCTCTTTTTCTTTTTTTCTTTGTATCGTTCTAACACTTATCATTATTGATATGTAGTCTAACGCTACAAATTTTTAATTTATATATTTTAATCAACGTTTTTAAACACTCGAATTTTTCAATATTCCTTCCAAATTTTTAAGGTACGGTCTGCAAGGTGCGACATGTCGCGGCGACCGATGGCCATGAACAGTCGTCGCGACCAATGTGGTTTGCAATACGCGACAAGTCGCGTCGAGTCATGACGATTAAATTATTTTTTCAGTCAGTAATCACAAACAGTAATTTTGTTATATTTTATTCGGTTTTAATTGTGTTCAAGTGTGTACCAGGTGCGTACCTTCACAAGTATTAAACCATGGATAAATTAGTTTTTAATAACAATAATATTTTAACCCTCCTACTAATGGATGAGGATGACGATAAGGTTAGTTTGTTTTCCTATTAATAGCCAAAAGAAAAAAAAAATAACAGATGATATCTTTAAAAATCGTGAAAGTGAAGGATTTTTTGAAATACTAATTAAGTGACATTTAATTTCGTGAATATTTACGAATTAATTATGAACAATTTAACTTTTTATTAACTTTGGTGGAAGGAAAATTGACTTTACAACCAAGCATTCGAATTAAAAATCCAATAACACCGGCAGAAAAATTAGCAGTTACTTTAAGGTAAATATTTATAATTTATTTAATTTTTTGTACCTAATATTTAGTAAATATGAATTATTTTTAAAACAGGTATCTTGCCACAGGTGATTCAATAATATCATTATCATTCGCTTTTCGTATTAGCCACAACTATTTAAGCACAATTATAAAAATACACTGGTCGAATTGAAAATTAAATAGGTATCGATTTTTTTGTCTGATTCAAAAAATATTAACTATAAACAAAAATCAGCAGAGTTTTCGTACAAATGGAATTTTCCTAATTGTATCTTGGCAATTGCTAGAAAACCTGTCCGCATTCTAAGTTCAAATAAATCTGGATCATTATTTTATAATTATAAATAAATAAATAATTTATAAATAATAAATAATTTTATAATGGTTATTCGATATTGGTTCTTTTGGTAAAGAAGGCGATATATATTTTTAAAGTCAAATATGGGACAGAATATTTTAAACGGAAGATTTGGATTTTCAGAGTCATGTCAACTCCCTGGATCCGATAATGTTACACCTCACGTAATTGTAGGTGATGAAGCTTTTCGTTTATATAAACACATTATGAAGCCACACACAAAGATACTGCTAGAGAAAATCCATCAGAAGCTGTGTTCAATTACAGACTAAATCGTGCACGTAGAGTCACAGAAAACGCCTTTGGATTATTGAGCCAAATTTTTAGGATTTTTTATCTACCAATCAATTTAGAAACGACCACAATTGATGATCTAATATGGGTAACCTTCTGTTTACACAATATGTTGCATGAGGGGTACTTGGAGAAAAATAAACGACCATTCTTCGAATATGATACGGAACAATCACCACCAACTGATAATATGATACAATTTTTTAGACGTGGAGGGTTTTTAAATATTGAAGGGTTTGAAGTAAGGAATTTGTTCAAAGACTTTTTCAATAATGAAGGGGCTGTTTCTTGGCAAACAAATTATTAAATTTAAACTACATTAAAGATTTATATTATATTAAAAAACGATTTCACGAATTGCTTTAATATAATTCAATTCATTGGTTTTTACTTAGTTTACTTAATTTTAAGTTTACCACCTTTATTAATTATGATAATATATTATAATGTTATATTACATGTAATATTGAGACAACACATTCTTAGTTATAAAATAATAAATAATAACTAAATAAAAACCTTTTTTTTATTTTATAAAATGAATATACTTATATTTTACCATAAGATAATAAAAATTAAAATCAACCTTTTGATAGAAAATTACGAAATATTCAACAACTAAATATGAAAATGAAATTCAAATGTAAAAAAAATATAATAAGTATGAAAAATATTATTATGTAGATAACTCATCATGGTTATACAAAGAAAACTGTGAGTTTGAAGATCTTGAGTAGATACTTGCAGATATTGTTGGAGAAGGTTGAATGGAATCCTGCGATGTTTGAAAATGGTTTTGTTGTAACGTAACATGTGAAGGTGGAGTATGAGCATTTAACATTCGGCTAACAGTATGTGGATACATTAGTTGATGTGGATAGATAGATTGGTGTGGATATATGTATAGGTTGTTCCAGTTGTTCCGTTTGTTCGTCTAACAAGTACTTTTCCTCAAGTTTGGTCATCAATGAAAATATTTTTGTCTTAACTTCAAGTCTCCCTTTGGTTGGTAATTATAACTGTTACAGCCATGGTTTTAAAAAATAAATCTAGTTCATCGAAACTCTCTTCTTTTTTCTCTAATTTTTGTTTATTTTGATCCATAATTTGTTTAATAAGCAAATTTCGTTCTTCTGATTTATTCATTAACAAATCGGCAACCTTTCTTGACCTAGAGAAACCGCGCTTCCCACTTAAAGGTTCAGCCGGTGGCAGGTCATTTGCTGCTTCATTAATATCTCATTTCTCATCAGTTAAAACGTCTATATTCTGGTCCATACCAACGTTACAAGTCGAGCTAAAAAATTAAGAATTTAATTATTCATTACAATTTTTAAATGTAATTCAAAATTATCTAAGGTTATTTTATGCAAAACCGACTTTCAATAAAATCAATTTTGGTTTTTGGTGTAACTCTTTGAATAGAAGGCTCCTAATATATTGTTTCATAGGTACATGAAAAATATTAAAAATCCGTTGTCACAATTTTTTTTTATAAGCATTTAAAGTTCGAATTTTGACAAAATATGTAAAAATCACAAACATTTTCAAATTATTTTGAGTTAGAAATCAATAAAAATTTTTCTTTTTAAATCTAAGATTCTAAATCTAGTTTTAGGCAATGGTAAACATTATATGCCTTATTATGGTCAGGTGCATAAAAAAGATTTTAGGTAAGAACAACATAAATTAGTTTTATTTTTTTTTTGTCAAATCTACTCTACTGCATTTAACAGGAAAATAGTACGCGTAATATTTTTTAACATAGTATGTACCCATGCCTTGTATAGTGATTAGTGGACATCTTTCCGTGTGTTGCGGGGTCGACCAGTTCTTCCAGGTTGCCCCGGAGACACTCAGCCCCTTTATGTATCCGCGGGGTTGTCTCTTCCGGGCAGTAGTCCCGGATGGCTCCGGGGGTCCCACCCGGGGCGCCGCCTCACCACGGGCGCCATAATGAGTGACCGCCGCGGCCAGAGCCCGACGGATTATCGCCTGAGTCAAACCCCTTCTACTAAGGCGCTACTCCCACAACCACCACGAGTCCTTCCTCAAGTGTGCCTTCCCCGGTGCGGGCGAGCGCGAGTCCTCGGTGAGTCCACGCGGTCGTGCGCCTCGGGTCCAGCACCCTCGGAGCGTCGAGGCGCTATTAGCAAGCCGACTCGACGGGGCTTACTCCGAGTCCCGTGGTACAAGGTTTGAACCCGGCGTTTAGGCCCTCGCAACTGCCTTGTCCGCAAGCAAGTCGATCGGGGTACCGCTGTGTGTACCGCGACGACCCCTTTATAGCGCGTACGGTTTTGATCTTTATCGACAGATTGCCGTTTCTGCCGGTGCCTCTCTCGTATCAAGCCACGAGCCGGCTGAATACGTGCACGTGCTTCGCTCGACGGGTGGTCTGGCCCCTCTAGTTCGAATTTGTTCATAGGGAGCG